CTCTGACAAGGTCACTGGCAAACTTGTCATTTTATGAATATGTTTTTGAAATCTTCACCCATCATTTTTACCTATTTCAGTATATTTGAGTTGAATCCTTGAGGGAATTATGATCCTATATGGCCATCACTTTTAACTTGATTTTTTACTCTTGTGTTTATGTGTTATGATTCATATGCTGGTCTAAGTACCGCTTTTGATTTATTTGAGGCTTAATGTTCACTGCCCTGGAATCACTCAGAGACCTACTCACTTTTAAGGTATTTGGAGAGCTCCAGCAATTTTATGTAGTCTGTAACACACTTGTTCCCTGCCATATTTCTGAGACATGTGTTTAGTACGTTTCTTAATGAGAATATGGCCATGATTAGTTAGCATATTGTTTACACAGGAGCACAAAATATTCTCCTCTAAAAACATTAAGCTTCATTAATTGATATGAAATGTAAAGACTGGAAGGCAGCATCTGCTGACATAAAATTATATCCAACATTAGAGTGGAGAGAGGTTTCTCAGTCTCCACAGTTGGCAATCACATATAGAGATTTCAGAGGGAGATGTAGCTTCAGAGAGAGCGGCAACAAATACCACATTTTATCTCTTTTCTGGATCCTAAAAGTATGGATTCTAAGTATATAAATACCATGTGTGTGTGTGGGGGGGGTATTTCTGTATGAGTGCATGTGTGTATGTGTGTATATATGTGTATGTCTTTGCTAGGTTTTCTGTTGCTGGGGAGAGATATCATGACCAAGGCAACTCTTATAAAGAAACATTTAATTATGGCGGTTCACTTACAGTTTCAGAGATTCAGTTCATTATCATCATGATGGGGAGCATGGTTAGTCAGGGATAGAAAGACATGGTCCTGGAGAGGTAGCTGAGAGTCCTAGATCTTGCAGGAAACAGGAACTCAACTGAGGCACTCGGTGATATCTTAAGCACAAGAAACCTCAAAACTGGCTCCCCCAGACACACTTCCTCCAACAAGACCATACCCACTCCAACAAAACCACACCTCCTAATAGTGCCACTCCCTATGAGATTATGGGGATCAATTACATTCAAACTACTGCAGTGTATATATGTGTATGTATGTGATGTGATGTGATGTGTGTGTGTGTGTGTGTGTGTGTGTGTGTGTGTGTGAGTGTGTGTAGGAGAAAGAGAAATAAAGGCAGAAGAGGGACTCCAGGAAGAAAAGTATATGTATGTATGTGTATGTATCTGTACGAGTGCATGTGTTTGTGTATATATGTATGTCTATATTGTGTATATATCTGGATGTGTGTGGATGTGTATGTAGACGTATGTATGTACATATATATGGGTGCATATATGTGTCCGTGTGTGTGTGTGTGTGTGTGTGTGTCCAAATGTTTGTACATGAGAGAGTCAGAAAAAAATCAATAAAGGTTTTTAAGACCAGTAAGGTGACTCAGAGGGCAAAGGCACTTGTCACCAAGCCTGATGTCAAACTTGAGTTTGATCTCCAGAAACCAAATAGCAAAAAGAGGGGATCAAGTCCAAGTTACTCTCTGACTTCCACAAACATGTCATGTCACCTTTGCTTTGAACCTACAAACATGTACACACATACACACAAATGAATGGCCACATTCATGCACACAAAGGTAATTAATTAACTAAAATATAATAAAATTAAAGGAATTTAAGGGAAGGAAAAGAAAAAAAAAACAGAAGAAATGGACACCAGTAAGGTAGTAAAAAATCTCTCCAGAGTCTAGAAAAAGAAAAAAAAACACTCTCTTGAGTCTCCAAATAGAAATACAGTTTGTCATCATCATCATCATTTCAGACTAAAGAGTCTTATGTTGGATACCAGAACTCCAGAACTATAAAAAGGTAAATCACTTGTATTCAAGTGAAAGAATTTGTTTGTTACTGAAAATATGTCATATAATAAATAGTTCTTTCCTGCATTTACTTACAAAGTTTTTCATACCAAAATATGTAAGAGACATTGAACTCTTTATTATTTCTGGGCTCTGCAAAACTTTTCATCATTACTTCAGAAACACTGGCTCTCAGGCAAAAGGGGGAAGTGTGCAGGTCCAGGACTGTGTGTGGTGCAGACAGCTGGTGAATCTCAGAGGAGGTTTTTGTTGGAGGTTGAAGCACTGTGGGAGGAGCACTATAATGCTGCTGACAGTAGTAATCTGCCAGATCTTCAGCCTGGACACTGCTGATGGTGAGAGTGAAACCTGTTCCAGACCCACTGCCTGTGAAGCGATCAGGGACCCCAGTGTTCCGAGTGGATGCTAAGTAGATCAGCAGTTTAGGAGCCTGCCCTGGTTTCTGCTGGTACCAGTTCAAGTAGTTCTTCTTGGTGTTACTTGAATAAAGACTCTGACTGGACCTGCAGCTGATGGTGACCTTCTCTCCTGCTGACACAGCCAGGGAGGATGGAGACTGGGTCATCAAGATGTCTGCACAGGCACCTGCAATCAGGAAAACAAGTGATCATGCATAATAAAAAAAAAACCACCACAGTATTCAATACATTTGAAATTTGTCATTTAATGTCCTTGTAATGCCATATTGTCAGAGTATTACTGAATAAAAATATTACAGCCTGGCACACATTGTTATTTTTTATATACAAAGAAATGACTCTAAAAAGATTATAATACTTTTCAATTTCTTACCAGACACCCAGAGCAGCAGGGACATGAGGACCTGCTTCTGTGACTCCATCTTGCTCCCCCTACTGTCTGATGCAGCTCTGTTCTCACTACAAAGGCCTGGTTTATATATTTTGAGCAGCTGGGCTGGGCTGCAGGGGGCCATGCAAAGCAGTCAGCAAATACAAAAGCAAAGGCCTGGGCAGTTGCATGAGAGTGACTAGTGTCAATAAACAGGCAAAAATATCATCACAGAGAACATGAGCAATCACTGAAATATATTGGCTTACAGCTCTCCAACAGACATCTACTAGGTGTTCTAAAAGCAATTTTGGTTAAAATCCAAGACATAC